TCCCAATCACAGTAAAAGTTGTTCAGTTTGATACTCTTGCAAAAATTTGCAAAGATGAAAATTCTGAAGTTCACATAGTACAATACAGAACAAAAGCTATGATTTATTAGCCACTGAACTTACGAAAACATTGTTTTCCTATGAGACTTGAGTTAGGATAGAGCGAAATCATCAACTAAAATTGAACAAAATTGAAGCACTACTGCACAATAACCCGCTTTGCACCATCCAAAGTGTTCTTGAGCAGCATTGCAACAGTCATTGGACCCACGCCCCCAGGAACTGGAGTAATACATCCAGCTATCTTACATGCTTCCTTGAAATCCACATCTCCCACTAACCTATAACCTGATTTTCTACTTGGATCATCTACAGCATTTGTCCCAACATCAATAACTGCAGCACCGGGTTTAATCCAACTTCCTTTTATCTGAAAGTTGAGAAAATAAACTTACATATAAAAGGACATTCACTCCATCAAAGCCAACAAACCAATTCCAACATATTAGACTATTAGGAACCGTGAGCTACCAATGTCCTCTTACCATCATTGGTTGCCCTGCTGCTGCAATAATGATGTCAGCTTCACGAATGATGCTTTCTTGATCATTAGAACGTGAATGGACCACAGTAACAGTGGCATCTGCTTTCAGAAGAAGCAAGGAAACTGGTAATCCAACTATGTTACTGCGACCCACAACTACAGCCCTTTTTCCCTTTATACTTACACCACTTCGATGTAGAAGTTCAAGACAACCCTGTTGGGAGAGGAAAGAAAGTTCTGCTTAGAAAACACAGGATTATAAGAATCAGCCCGATTGGCAAACACATTCTTGTATAAGGATTGAGTTTTACGCATAGCATAATGCATAAACATTGGATATAACATACTGAAAGCAGTTCAAAACCAAATATATTATTACCTTGGGGGTGCAGGGTTGGAAAAGCGGTTCTCTGTCTTTCATTGCAAGTTTGCCGATGTTCAGAGGATGAAAGCCATCTACATCCTTTGCAAGACTAATTTCACTTAAAACTTTCTCTTCGTTTATATGCTTTGGCAGTGGCAGCTGAACCAATATTCCTGCCAATATAACAACAGATTGCTCAAAAACTGGCGTCGTAACAAAAAGATGCAATAACCAGCTTCAATAAAACCTCTGCGAAATTTCAAAAGTTCTTTAAAACAGCAAGTACTTGAAGATTCAACCAACCATGCACATCAGGATTTGCGTTTAACTCATGAACCTTGGAAACGAGTTCAGCTTCAGATATTTGCTCAGGGAGGTCCATGTCAAAGGACTGAATCCCAACTTCAGCACACGCTTTTCTTTTCATACCCACATAGCTTTGAGAATCCTTCCTATTGCCCACAATTACTACAGCTAACCCAGGAACCTAACCACATCAAAACACAAAATTATTGAACTCTTAACATCATAAACAGAAAAGCAGACAAAACCCAAAACAGGAACTAGTCTTAGCAACATTTTTACACCTAGAAATGTAAAGAAAGTAGAAAATACCTGTCAATTCATTCAGATTTCTGTTTTAATTAAATTTTGCAAAGAGATTTGTGAATACCTTGCCGTATTTCTCTGAGAGTTGACGGACTTCCTCGGCGATTTCTGATCGGATTGTTTGAGCGATGAGCTTGCCGTCGATTACAGTGGCTTTATGTTCCGATTGGGACGCCATTAAAGTAGTGTTCGAAAGGAGTCGAGCTTGGTTTTCTCACTATTGGAAGAAGATCAGCAAATTAAAGCCAGCTTGACACGAAGATTGGTGGCTGAAGTGAAGAGACTAGGGGTAGGGGTTGTTTCGGTATTGTGAACGGTTGTTTTTCTCAATCTTTCAATTTGTTTTTAAATTTACTTTTAAACCCATCAAAATAATTAAAAAATATAAAAAATTAATTTAAAATAAAAAAATCAAGATTTTTGAAACTCTAATTAAAACATGGGCGAAACACTCCAAAACAAAATTATTATGATGTGTTAATATAAAAAATAATTTAAAAAATAAAAAAATATTATTTCAATATATTATTAAATAAAAATAATTTTAAAAAAATAATCACAACCATATTCAAAAATATTCCTTCAATATAAGTTAAATATTTTTTATAATAATTTTAGAATATTCCTTAAATATAAGTTAGATATTTTTTATAATAATTTTAGAAAAAAGGACTTGATTGATGATTTTTTATACCATGGGATCTGACTTATTAAAAAGCATAGGGATCCGATTTTGAAAAATGCTAGTAGATTGACATTAATACAAGTTACATGATGTTGGAGCTTTTTAAGAAAATATAAATATTGTAATTTTTTTCTTTTTAGTTTTGAAATTTTTTTTTTTTTTTTTTATTTTCTTATTTAATATCATTAGGCTTTTTTATTTTTTCTATATAAAGATTGTGATAGCTTTTTAGTTAAAAAGACTTGAAAGAATAAAAATTAAATATTTTAAATGTCTCCTCCTAATTATAATATTTGATGGTTTTAACTTATAAAAATCCTTTTATCCTTTGCTTCCAGTTGTGTGAATATCCCACTTCTCTTTCCTTAACACGAAAAAAGGCCAAACATTGGAAAATAAGGAAACCAAGGTGTGCAATTCCTAGTCAAGGAACACCATCTATGTATACTCAACTCATGTTACATATGCTATTTTTTATTCTAAAACTTACCATTTACTTATATATTAATCAATTTAAAAAATATAATTTAATTGATCAGATTATAAATTTATTTTTAAAAAAATATTAGTTTGAGTTTTATAAATTTTAAATTATTAAATACTTATATAATAATTAACTTTAAGGTCCATGAGATTAGTCGAGCCGAACACAAACTAATTTGGATATCTATATTAATTAAAAAAATATAATGAATAGTGATTATTTTTATATAAATAAAGAAAAAAAACTGAAATCCATCATTTAGTTGAGTCAACCAAAACTCAAGGAATTTTAATTAATCAAGAGTAATAATCAACCAAATAAAAGTGATTAATTATAGAAGTTGAGAATCAAATAAAGTGATAAAAGTGATTAATTATAGAAGTTGAGAAGATTCAATCATAATTCGAATGAGGTTCCTCCACATATTAAAATGATAAGTATTGTGGGTTAGTAAGGATTCCTGTAATTATAAATAAAGAAAAATTTAGACTGTATTAGAATTTAAATATATAACCTTTTATTTTATAAAAACAATCTGGATAGGATTAAAATTATATGTTTAGGTATAACACAAATACTATACCAAGATAAATAAGTCATCCAATTACTAGAAAATATATTCAGGCTAATATATACAATTTCTTTATTTCTTTATGCAATTACCTTTTACAATTTATTTTTTGCAAATTTATCTCTTTTTTAATGCTTTCTTTATAACTTTGCTCTTATATTTCAAGTGGTTGCGCTTCTACTTTTTTTTTTTTAATTTCTTTATTTGGTGTTACTTGGAACAATATACCCTTTCTTAATTAGAGGTCATACTACCTGTATCACTCAAAATTAAATTCCTAATTATAATTTCTTTTTATTGGAAGGAAAAAAAAAGAATAGGTAACATAGTCGATCCATAAAATTATTTGACTACTCGACATATTGGATAATATTCATTATTATTTTATTAAACTCTTTTCATATGAATTCTGTTCCTTGGACAATCTACGGTGATCTTCATTGAACTCCTGACTTGCTTTCTCTCACTTTTTTTCACAAAATTTTGTTTCTTGGCTCAGGCATGCTTCCCTATGTTATTTGCGCTGCAATATTACTGCATGTATTGCCTTCTGAAGATCATTTGTGTGCATGTTATTTATCTGGACTGCTACTCTTTCCTCGCCAAGAATTTATAATATCCGAGTGTTGTGATCATTAGCTTATAGATTATATTTCTTGCTTTATTAACCTTACCTCAGTCTTCTTAAATATTTTCTGCCCATATCCAATTTAATTGGCTCATACAACTGTTCTACAAACATATTCTTTTCTACAAACACAGTTAGCATTGATGTTTTTCTTTTCTATTGCGTGTTAAAGAATCATTTCAATCTAAAAACTTAAGTTATGAGGTAAGGTTTCAGAATATAATTTATATTATTTTCTAACATACCCCCTCAAATGAAAGCTCTTTGAACTTGAAACTTACACAAGTCCATATTATTTTGTACTTAATTTTTTATCAAATAAATATGGATAGTGAGATTTAAACTCATAACTGCTTGATCATTAAGGTTCTAATACTATATCAAAGAACTATCTCAATCCAAAAACTTAAGCTGTTAGGTAAAATCTCATAATATAATTTATATTATTCTCTAACACGACATAACGTAGACAATTAATTAGTCATTACTGAAATTGCTATGTATCCACACAATACAAAGCATCTTTTATAGAAAATAAAAACATATCAACTGTATATTAAAACCTTCATTTATTGGAATTAATTTTGAAGTTTTCATTCAAAAAATATCTTTTACTTGTTCTAGGTATCTTTTAGGTATATACATAAGATGTATTTCAGGAGCTCACGTGAACTGAATAAAGAACATATCCTGAGTCCCTTTTCTGAAATTGAAGTCATAGCTATATTTCCTCATAGTTCAGCCATTATGGGGCTAAAATTTGAATCCCAAACGAAATCAAATTGAAGAAGAAAAAAGAAATGGAAGTAACTCCAAATTGCAATGTACATTCATGAACACAATACCATCTGTACTTTTTATATCTACCAGATTGCATCGAGCGACAAAAATCAGGTTGATGATTGAAAAATTAGTGAAGGTAACGAATTAATGATACTAGCTACGAACATGTCCCTAAGCTATATAAAAAAAGGCTTGTATCTAACAGGAATCTATTAGTTTTGACTCTCGTGGCTGATTCCGATGCAATGTTCTTCTTCTTTTCCTTCATAGTAGGAAATTGGCAAAATCAAAAGTTGTCAAGCTAGAAATATAGCTCTACAAATTGAATTGCATCACACAGTAGCACAACCGGCAGCACTGGCCTAAACACAGGAAACACCTGAGAGTACACAGCTAGCTAGACATTAGCCAGAATATTTACTGCTACATGACAACGGATTATATAGCATGTCAAGACAGCTTGACAAATACGGAACTCAATGGCATGCACTTGAACGTTAAAAGAGCAAATTCCAAACGTCAGATATATCAAAAGAAGCATGACTAGTACATATTATGTGAGAGTTCAGAAGAAGCGAAGAAAACAGCAGAACGAAGTTGCGAAGCATTATATATGTGAGGGCATTGAAACTCTCTAGCTAGTATCTACGATGTGAACAAAATTCATCATCACCCAAAAGTTTATGATCTTATGCACCGTCATGGAGTCTCAAAGCTAACAAATTAATATGTAATGGTGAACATTCAATTACAATAGAGTAATTTGATGCCAAATTTGCAAACTTTTAGCTTCTAACTTCAAACTGTAGACCATGTCAATTAATTAGCTTGCTCACTGGAGAAAATTTACAGGGAAACAATCCTAATGCTCCATGTCATAACAGGGCCTGTATGGGACTTGGTTTTTCACACGAATAAATTTAAGAATAAAATGCACAGAAAAATGTTTACCGAGCAGGATTTCTTTCGGGACAACCCCAAATAAAAAAAATATCAACGCATACTATCTGGAACTTATAAGTTCTTGTCTCAAGCAAATTAATGAGATTAAAAATCCAGGGAATTCTAAATTCAAGTGGAAAAACTACTGGCATCAAATTAACAAAAGGGATTTTTTTTTAAGGTTGACACCCAATTCTGAAAACTTCCATCTACCTGCGGCTTCAAGACTATAGAGAGACTGATGGAGGCCCTTGGCTCGAGTGGTAAGCCTAAAGTTTCCCTTGCTCCTATCTCTGAGCAGTTCTCGTCACATTCAATCACAAATCTCCTCAGCATGGGAGCCTTTCTTAAGAGATGTTTAGCAAAAATGATCTCCTCCTTTTTCCCACAGAATCCTTTTATCTTCACCAACTTCAGGCTATGTGTGATGCTATCATGCAGCTCCCTTTTCTCCCAGAACATTGAAGTAGGATATGGTAACTCCCAGTCGGAAGGCCCCAAATTTTTGGGCTTATGAAAAAGAAACAAAAGATTCGAAGTAAGGACAAATGTGTATGTGTGTGTGTGTATTCTCCAGTAACCAAAAAAACGAAGGAAAAAAAAGGACTTTAGAAAATCCTACTTACTGGAATACTGATACCGAGTCTCTGCAAATGGGTGCATAGTCTGAAGATGTGATCTAAGATGTGTTGTTCCATTTGACTGTCCAAAGCTAAACTGATAGATAGAGCATGCAACTGCCCAAATGGATTGGAGCACTTCACAAAACCATTATTAGGGTTTTGCTGCTGCTAAAAATGAACAAAAAAGCAATGAGCAAAAAGAAAGGAAAAAAAAAAACATTAGTCTTCTCATCATCCACGAACCGTATATTTAAAATTTAAAGCTTTTCGATGATTTCTTTCTCTCGTTTACTATCAAAAACAAAAAGAAAACTTAAAGCTAAAATTAATTAATCAATGAAATTAAACCTAGAAAACTTACCAAGAGGCCACAGCAACGCTCAAGAAAATCTATGATCCTGGAATGGATTTGCGTGCTTTTTTGGACAAGACCACCATCAGAACAAAATCCAAACTCCACGAGACTCGGAGTATTAATTTTCATATATACCGAGCACGACACTGAATTGAGAACAAGAATGCTGAGGCCAATAGCTTTGATATCAATTCCTTCCAAATCCATGCCGTTAAGTGTCAAAGACTTGAGATTCTTATCATGGATCTCTGTCCTTTTTAAGCCAGTGCAAGAACAAAGACACAAATCCTCCAAGAAGATGCAATTTAAAATAACCCGAGAGAGAGTTTTATCATCAAGATTCACCGAATTGAGCCTTAAGGTGACAAGATTACGGCAACTTTCAAAAGAAGAAGCATCTTTAAGCCTATATCCCTTCAATTCCAAAACATGTAGGGTTCTACAGAAAAATATACCTGGAGGCAAATTGCACCGAAACTTATCGAATGCAAAGAGTTGTTCGCACACGAGGGAGAGTTCTTCGATCTGCTTTTTCTCTTTAAGGCTTTTGATCAATCTTTCAACTAGACCAGATTTAAAATTATCTTCTATGTGAGAGATACTACAACATACAAGTTTTGTTTTATGAGAATCAATGATCCTTTCAACTAAACTTGTGGCTCGTAAAATCTCGTCATATAACCTCTCTTTGTTATAGTTTCTGAAACTTGCATCTTTGTTGTAAATATCTACGCAGGATTTGGTCAGAAAGTTTGCATCAAAGTGAAGGCAAGATGAAAATTTCCATATATTTTTCCATCTTTTCGAAAGGATGCTGGTTCGTGTGCTTTCTCGGACACTCAGATGTGAAATAATCACAGATAAAAGTGTATCAGGAAGACTGCTGATTTGATCAGCACCTTCATTATCAATCTCCATAAATCACAAGCAAAATATAAAAAGTAAAACCCTAGTTATATGAATTCTTGAGAAAAAATATTTTAAAGATGAATTTAAATAAGTGATAAAGAGTTTGATAAATACTAGGAATATTATAAGAAGTAAAATTTGACTGAAAGTCTACTTCTACTATTCTTTGTATAGCTTACACCATGAAGTTTTTACTAATAAATAATGGAGCGCCCCGAATCAATTTAAATACCGGCTGGTACGAAGCAGGTCTGGAAGCTTCCATGTTGAGGACGGGCCCTCGTTATTCTCGAAAAAATGACCAAGAGAAGACGAGCGGAGTGAGGCCAGACGCAACCTTCTAGTCCCTCTGCCGTGAAGAAGGGTGATCTTAACAATTGGAAGTGAGCCTAAACTCTTATTCACTGGACACAGGGAACGATCCTAAGTGGCCAAACTAAAGGAGAGCGTTTATCATTGAGTAAATTTAAATAATTATACTCTTTTAAATATAAAAATCTTATTTGTACGATTTTAATTTTAAAAAATCAAGATAAAAATTAAAAAAATAACAGATGAAAAGTTTTTTTTATATAATATTATAAAAATTAAAAGTTTTTTTTTAATTTTTATTTGCTATAATTTAATAGTTTGATAGTGATTGTAAGAATTAAGTGGATTTAAATCCATAAATCCATTTAAAGATTAAAAATTTATTTTCTCATAAAATTATATTCTATACTAAAAGATACTAGTTTTTAATCATGTAAGTACACAATGAAAGATTGATGTCCTTTAATCATAGTTTTTTTTCAATTTATTTTTTTATTTTTTTAATATATATTTTTTTCTATTTAGTTATCAAATTCTTATAATACAGATTTCAAGTTTGACAAGTTAATCTAGTTGACTTGAAATTTTTTTTAATTTGTTTTTCAATTTTATCTTTTATACTCTACATTAAAAGACATAAGCTTTTCACTGTGTAAGTTCATAGTGAAAGACAAATGATTTTTAATTGTAGTTTTTTTTATTTGTTTTTCTTTTTCTCTTTTCAATGATTTTTTTGTTTAATTTACTTATTTAATATTATTATTTTTTCTATTCAGTTATCAAAATCTCATGACAAGGATCCCAAGTGTGATAATTTAATTTGATTTGGCGAGTTAACCTAATTAATTCAATTTTTTTTAATTAGTTTTTTCTTTCAATTTCATGTTTTAATATTTGTTTGATTAAAAATTAAATTTTATAATTTTATTTTATTTATTTTTTATTAAATTATCGTAATCTCATCATAGGATTTTACTATACCCCTCCTCGCAAAGCACTATTCACTAGAATAATGCTTTGCTTTGTATTTTTCTTCTCAATTACTCCTTTTCTTTTCGATCTTTCAATTAGAGCAGATTTAAAATTATCTTGTACGTGGGAATACTGCAAGACACAAATTTTGTTTCATGAGAATTAATGATCCTTTCAACTAAACCTGTGGCTCATGAAATCTCGTTATATAGCTTTTTTCTGTCATAGTCTCTGAAACTCGTATCCCTATCGTAAATATCTAAGCAATATTTGGTTAGAAATTTTTTATCAAAGTGAAGACAAGACAAATATTTCCATGTATTTTTCCATCTTCTTGATAAGATGCTTGTTCGTATGCTTTCTAAACACTAAAATATAAAATAATCACAAATAAAAATGTGTTAGGAATGCTACTGCACCTTCAATATCTATCTCCATAAATTACAAGCAAAATATAAAAGTAAAAACCCTAGTTATATGAATTCTTGAGAAAGGATATTTTAAAGATGAATTTTAAAAAGTGATGAAGAGTTTGATAAACATTATGAATATTATAAGAAGTAAAATTTTACTTTACTTCTACTTTTTTTTATGTAGTTTACACCATGAAATTTTCACTAATAAATAATATGGTTCCCAAAATATTTTTCAAAACTTTATTTTGGTCCTTATATTTCATTTCATAACAAAACAAATCCTTATTACATGTTGAATTGTAAACGTAATTTAGTCATATAATTTTAATTGGTTTATAGATCATATAAGAGTCGAGTAAATTTAAATAATTATACCCTTTTAAATATAAAATTTTTATTTTCATGATTTGAATTTTAAAAAGTCAAGATAGGAATTAAAAAAATAAAAGAAGGAAAATTTTCTTATATAATATTATAGAAACCAAAAGTTTTTATTAAAAAAAAATTTATTTGCAATAATTGAATAGTTTGACAGCGATTGCAAGAATTAAGTAGATTTTAATTAATAAATTCATTTAAAAATTAAATTTTTTTCTTATAATAATATTATAATCTATACTAAAAGACAACAGTCTTTCATTAGGCAAGTCTATAGTGAAAGACGTCCTTTTAATTGTATTTTTTTTGTCTTTTCTTTTCTTTTCAATTAATTTTTTTCATTCTTTTCAATTAATTTTTTTATTTAGTTATTAAACTCTCATGACATAGATTTCAGGTTTGACGAGTTAACCCCGTTAACTTATATTTTTTTAATTATTTTTTTTTTTCAATCATCTTTTATACTATATATTAAAAGACATTAGTGACACGACTAAAAGATTGATGTCTCCTCCCAAGTGTAGGAGTGTTGAAGTAATAAATAACCCAATAAGACCGGGGTCGAATAACAGGGAAGTTAATTATATAAATTATAAACAACAATAATATAACAACAACAATAATAATAGTAATAATACTAATACTACTATTACTACTACTACTACTAATAATAGTAG